AGAAACCCTCTGCGAACATCTGGGCCGTGGAAGCTCGGAAAGACATGGTATCTCTTAATGTGAGCCGAGGAAGCCATGAGAGAGATGCAGAGTAAAAGAGAAGTTGAAGAAAGTATCTATCACAGTGGCTTTGGATAAAAACATATATGGAGGAGATAGACATTTGATTGCAGAGAAAAATACAAACATGTATCCCCGAAAGTCGTCGAGGACCCCGCATGAGTGTAGTGTAATCGTCGAGGGCCACTGGGTTTTTGTTTGGTACTTCTGAATTTGACTTTGTCATTTTCCAGTGACGCATCACTTGAAATGAACTCAGAGCTGTGAAGCAAGCTTTCGTTGTCCCGAGATCGGAAGAAGAAGAAAAAGAAGGAGAACCCAGAAAAATGAGAATTTCAAAATTAGGGTTCTTAATTGTAATTAGTAGCTACCCAGATTGTAAATTTAGTTTGAATACAAAACCGAGTTTTCTATTCGATCAAAAATTTATGAACCAATATCAGATTTGACCAAAAAATCTAATCCGAAGATACTGATTCGGTTCGGTTCGGTTCTGTCATGTTGCAGTTCGGTTCAAGTATTAACTTATTCGGTATAATATTCTTGAGTCAGAAGAATTCCGGTTCGGTTTTAAAATTAAGGGATAAAGAGATGGATGGCAAAGATGGGGTTTTTATTAGGTAAATAGCAAGATCTAAATGAGCTAGAAGGAATTAACTAAAGGATGACGAACAGTAATTTGAGACTTCGTTTATTTACGTCTATTGCCATCGAGTGCGCGTGGGCAAGCTGATGAATGAATTAGATATGTGGACATTTATGGTTTCAATTAAAACTGACATTGGACTTGATATTAAATGAGGAGGCAATATAGATTCGCCGCTGCCTTACATAAGCATGATACGGACGGAGATGATGGAGAGTTAATGCCATATGTAATGTTCCAACAAGAATTTTCGATGAGCGGAGCAGGAAACTAAAATATATGGGCACACCTAAGTTTATAGACTGTCCATATGTACTAGTTCCCGCTTCTAATTCCATATTTGTATACGTGGCAAATATATATATATATATATATATATATATTATAACGTGTTATTTGATAAGATAGGGGTTTATAATGATACATGAGTATAGTGAGTAAAATATAAGTTTACAAAGTGTTATAGTTGACTACTAACATTGATGGAGAGTTATTATCGTATTTGGAGGGTTATTTATTATGATGGGTGGTTAGTGTACGAGGTAGATCACGTAAATTATATTATATCGTGTTGTTTGAGTTGATAGTTTTTATGTTCATAAATGAGTGTACTATATGTAAATTTACAAGGTATTGTAGTTGTCCAGTAACACTGGTGGATGGTCATAGATATTTACTTTGGAGTGTTATTTGATATGATGGATCTACAAGGTATTGTAAATGTGCAAAAAGTAAAATAGACTTACATAAACTAACATAGCATACATATGTACAACATATAATATATACAAACATCTGATATGTGTGATAATAAATTCAAAGAATTAGCTTGAAAATGATAGATTAGAGCGATCGCTCAACTAAACAATCAATAGAGCGAGATCGAGTGAATTTGATCTTGAGAACCCAACAAAAAGTGTGAGAATAAGATCTCACATGTGAAAAAATGGATAATCTCATAAATTAGGTCTCAGTAGAGAAGTTGATGGCTCTGTAACCTCAGATTTGATCGTGTATTGATTGTATGAGATGATTTTCGGAGGTGTATGTGGGCGATTAGCTAGAACAACAACAATGATATGGAGAGTGACGATTTGGCCAAGTCGGTGGTGATCGGATCGGAGATAGATGATGAGATCATCTTGGCATTGTTAGAACCACCAGACAGTTTCGTTGAAATGAAAAAAAATAAGGTCAAGAGATTTCAAAAGAGAAGAAGTATCATAGTGATAAAGAAAAAATGAAAATAAGAAATAAAAGAGAGAAGAGGATGTGGATTGATATTTTTAGATGTGGATTTTTCTGATAATAAATTGGATAACGCGTAAAGTTAAAATAGAGAGAAAATGTGACTGAAATATTTTAATGCTTCAACTCAAGAATATGCTTCAACTCAAGAATATCATATGTCGATTCCCTAATTTACTACCCTCATTTGCCATTTAATGGTATTTCTCTAAAATTAAACACATTAATGAGGCATTTTCTCTGCAATCCCATTTTGATGAACACACACTGAAAGCAACTTCTCTGTAAATTTTCAACTATAATATTAATTAGAACCCCAATTGTAAACTTGGTTTGAATATTAAACCGAGTTTTCTATTCGATATTAGATTTTAAAAAACATTAATGTTATGTACATGCGCATTTTCTCTGCAATCCCATCATAATCATGAGCAGCTCTTTTATCTTTTCTCTACATTGAAGGCAACCTCTCTGTAAAAACACTAGTACGAAGAACACAAGAGACTCGTATGACCTGAAAGCTTTCATAATCCCTGAGTATATGATGAAGACGAGGCCGCACGAAAATGCTTCTTCCCGTGTTCCCCGACCAGATGCTCTGAAGCCGGTCTCTTCGGTCTCAACTTCAAATTTGGCAAACAAATATATATAAGAGCTTAGCTAAAAACACTTAAAGATGAAGATGCGTATGTTAAAACTATGAGGAGAAAGAAAAGGATGATTCAAATCAAAGAAACAAAGAAACTTTTGTACCTTTTCTTCAGCTCGTTGATAGAAGCTGCGTATGAGTATGTTTTTTACTTCTGTAGTTATCACTGCCAAAGGAAACAGAAACAGAATAAAGATGTAAATGGTAGCAAATTAGCAACGAAGCATCCATGAAACTCAAGACTAATGCATTTGATTAACACGCATTGGTCTCGACTCACGAGTTCAAATATCTGAGGCGATTCTAAAAAGTGATTCATGTTAAGTTTCACAATGATCATATCACTCCATCAAAGCAAGTTCATGATCAGTTTCTAGCCAAGAATCACAAGTCTTTCAAAAAATTAAACTCAAAAGATCTCAAACTGAAGAAGGCAAGACTAAAAAAACCGGCGACTTTTAATATTACCTTGATCTGGAGGTGGAAGTGTACGGTTGTGAGTAGGATGATAGGTAGTTGGAACCATCTTCTGGAAAAGAGAAAAATATGAACACAAAAACTCAGATCAAAAGCTTAATCTCCTCCAAGTTCATCAATATTGTTAATCTAAGTGCAATACGCAATAAAAAAAAAATTGCATTTTATTTTTTCATTTTGATACGAGATCAAAGTTGAGGACAATGGAAACAGAATTATGATTGTAAGATCAACATATTTCTCAAAAGAAAAAATTTCAACTTTCTTGGTTCCTTCAAACGAAAAAAAAATTCAGATCAAGTAACCAGCAAAATCCAAGTAGAAAATTTGGATATCTCATTGGAACAATTCGAAAATCAAAATTGGATCAGTGCACATTTTTTTTCAGGTAAATCGAACTCAGATCCGAAATATTAGCCGAATTCTCAGAAAACACGACATCTGAAATTTCATCGGAGACTTCAAAACTTACGGAGGGATTAGAAGGATCGGAGGGACGATGTTGACTGAAATTATGAGGATCGAAGGAAGGCAAATCACCCAGAATCGACGCCATTGGAATTGCGATGCTGTTCCTTGTTGTCTTCTTCGCCTACGGTGTTGAAGAGAAAGGTTAAATAATAGATAAAAGGGTTTATGATGGGCTGGGCTTCTCCAAATATTTCATTTTTTTAATCTCTTAGTTTTTTTACCGTCTAATATTACCAGTAAGTTTTTACCAATAGGTAAAATGGGAAGTCAAAGCAAGACAAAACCAAAAGAAGTGTATGTATATTTCATGTAGAAGTTTAATGGACATATGTCATAAGTTTTGAAAAGTAAAGAAGAAATTGTTTTTTTTTTTTCTTCTGGGGAAAAAGAGGAAACAGAAAAATGCACTCAGCTTGTGGTGAGATTTATGTTTTTTTATATAAATAAATTGTAGTGAGATTTATGTTACTACTCCAATAATAAACATATATCAAATTAATTATAGGTTTTCGATCCCGAAAAAAAAAGGTTCACCACTGGGAAACTTCCACGTACGTGTTAATTATTATGGGAGTGAAATGAGATTCTTAACCACTACAACCATAATAATAAGATTAAGTTGATCAATTAGTCGTTTATCCGTATTTAGAGTCACGCCACTTCATTTCCATGAGATACATACATACGTAAATAATCAAAGATAAGCTACAGTTTATGGTAACGCGGGTTATTTTTATAATCTATCGTGATTTAACAACACTAATGATATTCGTAATTTTATTAATTCTCAAGTACTTTTGAGATCAGATTCATAAATCTTGATATAATTAATAATATTGAATTTAACAGAGTCAAACAGATATATATACGGCTTAAAAAGCTGCTTTGATCCATATGATATTCAATGAACCAAATGATATAAATCACTCATTCACTCAATTCACCAATTGATCTGAATTATCGAAGTTCTCTACCCCATATCTTTTTGGTGAATGTAGGCTTTAAAGTTTAAACTGATAGTTTAATTTTTTTTTTTTAATATTACTGATAATTTAATATTGTTAGTTAAAAAAAAATTGTGTGTTTGCCTCAAATGCATGTAACTCTATATTCTTCCTGAACATTCCATGCGTGAATGTGCGGCGACCCTTGACTAAAAGTTTTATTTGATTGAACGGTTTACTGATGAGGTACGTACGACTGTACGAGCTAACAATATAAGTGCACGCGTGCTAATTGGAAGAAAATCACTTTTCATAGCACTTTGCCAAATAAATAAATAACTGACTCAAGTGCAATTTGATGATTTTCTTATAAAATATCCTTATGATTCTAATTATTAGTTAAATATACTTGGGTAAAAGGAGAAAAAAAAAAAGGAAAGAAAATAGGAGAAAAAGGGGAGATAATAATGAAAATTTAAGTTTAATAACACATGCAAGGAACTAAATGGAAGTAAAAGGCAGTTGAACAGAAAAAAGTAGGTGAACTTAGTTGGCCTCAATACCCTTTACTCTTACTTCTTCTTCTCGATCTAACACCACACATCTATATTACATATAGTGAGGAGGAAGAGAGAGAGGCTTATAGAACAATATGGAAAGACAAGACATAAGTCCTATGTTAAGCCAAGACGTCGAAAACAACAACACTTTCTCTTCCTTTGTTGATAAAACCCTAATAATGATGCCTCCGTTAACAATTTCCGGAGAGGTAAAGCCTTCTTCATCTTCTTGGTATCCAACGAGCTTTTATGTGCCTACGCAACCCCCTGAGAATGATCATATAGAAGATCAAGGGAAGAAGAAAGAAAAAGAGAAGAGATCGAGGAAAGTTCCAAGGATTGCGTTTCATACGAAGAGTGATGATGATGTTCTTGATGATGGCTATCGTTGGCGAAAATACGGTCAGAAATCTGTCAAGAACAATGCTTATCCAAGGTAACTTACACATTTATATGCTTGGATTTGTATACATTCATACATATATGAATGCATGAGTATATGTGAATCCATGACATCATTAACGTATATTTTCAAATATGGAATGTTCGACCTAAAACTTTTCATGTCTAGAAATCATTAGCTTAACAACCGGTCCGATCTAGTTTTGTCTTTAACAGTAAACGACACAAATAGAATGTAAACCTTTTAAATAGTTCAAAATATTAGTTTACTTAATTATATGAGAATACATAAACTTTTGTAACTCTGTAAGATTATATAAATACAACTCTATTTAATTAAATTCGGGAGCTTGTAATAATATTGGTGAATTTATGGGTTCAGTGAACGAAAAATATCCTAAAGTTTTTATAAAAAAAAAAGTACCAAATTCGCATAACTTATAATTAAGTTTAGGAAGAGTTATTAAATAAGAACTTATCAAACCTGAAACCTGCTGTATGCTTAGAATTTTATATTGTGACAATTTCTTTAAAAAACATAGATAGTATATATATATATGATCTTTTTTTTAACTAGGCTACAAGGCCAAATTAATATGTAATTATAATTTTACAAAACGTATAGCAAAAATTGTATTTTAACCGGATATCCGAATCCGAATCTGAAATATGAAATGTTTAGGAAGGGATTATCAACTACATATGTTTGGATTGACTCTTCATATATGAAATTACAGTTACTAAAACATGAAAAGTACAGGTTTTACATAGAAACCCAAAATTTTGGTTGGCTTTTCATATGAAATTCAAATACAATAATATATCAAACTACAAAAAGAATAAATAGTGTTTGAATGCAGGAGCTATTACAGATGTACGTACCACACATGCAACGTGAAGAAACAAGTGCAGAGATTGGCAAAAGATCCAAACGTCGTCGTAACTACTTATGAAGGAATTCATAACCATCCTTGTGAGAAGCTCATGGAGACTCTTAATCCTCTCCTGAGGCAGCTCCAGTTCCTCTCCAGTTTCTCTAATCTCTGATTAATTATGTTAATCTATACTGGTGTAATTAATTAAAGGTGATCAATGTTTTAATCATCCCACTGACCCACATCTCCCAAGAGACAAGTGTATAGAACAGATTCGAATTAAAATGTAGCAATTATGATTGTGTTGTTCTGTTTTGCTTTACATCTGGTCAAAAATATATTAACGTTAAAATTTGAATCTTAGATTCTTAATTTTCCTGTAACGAAAAAAGAAGATAATTCCTGTCTGATATAGATAATAGATTATGCTTAAATTATGCATGGTAGCGTTCTGAACGAATTTAACCAAACAAACGAAAATAAATATATCCAAAACCGAACTAAATTAAACTAGAACGAGAAAAAAAAATACTTTTAAGTTTATACTAAACCAAATTTTAATTATGTTTAACACAGTAACTTAATATACTTTCTATTTATCTAGTGAATTTTTAAAATTAACTAGGCTTTTAATCTTATTAATGATTTGATTTAATTCTTTTTTGGTTAGTATCTTTTAAATTATCAAAACTATAATATATTGATATAAATTTTCTTTTATATAAAAATTAAAATATAATATGCAGTTTTTTCCTATTTTTTTATATAATTATAAATCATGTTAAGTAAAATTATAGTAATGACATATATCAAATTATCCAACTTTGACGCGCATATGTTTGATTTATAGAATAATTTCTTTTAACTGTTCAAAAAAAAGCTAAAGAAAACATAATTAAAATTTTAAAAAAACTAAGGAAAACATAATTAAAATAAATGAAAATATAAATATTAAACTATAACTAAAATCTAAATAATTAATTCAAAAAATACAAATAGATAAATAGAAAGTATATTAAGTTACTGTTCCATTTTCAAACATAATTAAAATTTAATTTACTATAATTAAAAGAACCTTGAGATGTGTATTTCACCAAATCTCAAAGATTTCTAATTTTGTAATCCCGCCATTTTGTAAATTAAGCATTTCATTTATTTCAAAAAATAAGCTAAGGAAAACTATACAACGGTACGATTGAGATGGCTAATTTACAAAATGGTGGGATTATATAAAACTAGAAATCTTTGGGATTTTGTGAATACGCATTTCAAGATTCTCAGCCATTTTTCGAATTAGGCGTCAAATCAGTGGCTAAAGTCAATAAAGATATGTGACCAATCTATGAAAACATTCATTTATTGATGGTCATTACAAGTTTAAAAGACAGCTAAATACAAACAAAAGTTTTAAACCCCAAACTAAAAACCTTTGCATACCGGAATCCTAAATCATGTCCATGCCGTGGGCAAAACGATAAGTTAAAAAGTTCGTTACGTTACTGTTGTGTCCTAAGCACCAACCTCCCCTTGTTCTGGCCTCTCAAGTTCTCCATGGTGCTGTCGGTCCAGAAGGCCTCGTCAAGCAAGGAGGGGCGGTTGAAAAAGGCGGCTGAGCCTGGGACGTTTGAACCGGTGGTGTCTGAACCGGCTGTGAACCGTGGAGCCTAGTTTGAAGCTGTTGGGTTGGTCGAATGATCATGTGGTCAAGAGCCGGGGAGTATGAACCGGGCGTAAGACTTCCTCGCATCCTCGGGCGCCAGTTGGTTAAATCAGGAGTAGTAGTCAAGTCCACATCCATTAGGTCACTGGTTCGAGAAACAGATTGAACAGCGGGACTACTTGGGCGCTGCCTTTGAGTGCTTGAATGGTTTCTGTTCAGATTTCGCATGATGTTACTGTTAGGCTGCTGGTTAGTGAGTACTCTAGGGATTTGCGTAGACTGAGCAAAAGACGATGCGTTCCCAGGAGACTGGCTCGTAATTGGAACTGGGTGCCTCCGGCTCTGCAAGCCAACATATCTCATCAACATGTGAAATACTCACTCAAGAGAAGAAGTATTTTTCTCAAGACGGACACACAAACCTGTAATGAAGGTGTTATTGGTGGAGCTTGGGATGTATGATTCTGAATCCATCTCGGAGTAGAGGTTGTACCAAGATATGTTCCGGTGGAAGTAGTCGCTGGTCTATCTCTCGGAGACGGTGTCTGTGAGAACGGCGCAGGTACTGGTGTTGGATCTTGAGGCATTGATATTTGCGATAAGTTTGAAAAATCCTGTCCCGTTCCAGTATTCAAGTGATGTCGCATCACCTGATCAAATGATATCGCATCAGAGATATCAAACAAAGAAGAGTAATCTTCTTCTGAAGCATCTTTGCTTGCGTTTTTATGACTAGGTTGACCCTGAGCATCTGACAAGCGGGGCTTCTGCTCCACAACCTTGGTGTCACCAAATAAATCAATTTGGGCATCATCATCATCCCCGGTAAGATCCAAAACCACTGGACCAGCGTTTAAGAAGCTAGTCGGGTCTTCAAGATCATGGATGATTACGTCACGAACAGGTTCCTCGGTCCCATCGTTTTCCTTTGCAACCTTCCATGTGCCACTAGCGTGGATGATAACATCAGCAGCATTGGGTCCCGCGTCTTTTAATATCTGAGGATTTGATATGAGACGAGTTATCTATATTAAGATGAAAATCCAAAAATGTAGCAGTAAGCAAATTACGGTACAGATAGTGACTTGCCTTGACCATGTTTTGATCTAAACGGATCTCTGGGTAGCAAACAGATTGATTGCAATGCGGGCAGCGCCATGATGGAATTCTCATATTTATGTGGACATAATTATAGAAATCAAAACACTGCAGCATAAAAGTTACCATATCACTAACAAATATGAAGAATAATAGAAGATAACATCCACAAAGCCTTCAGAAAAAAAAATCTTATGATACTTTGGTTGCATCACCTGAAGATGTCTACACAACTGGCCCTTGACAGGAAGCTTGATCCGGCTGCGGCTGTTTTAATGGAGGAGACCAAATCAACGACCAAAGACAATCATAATATAACACAGTAGTACATAAAAGAAGCAAAAGTGGTACTGGTACCTTATAGGACATTTAAGAGATACTCGTGATGGCCCCTCGATGATGTCAGAATCTATAGACAGCAAAAAAAAAAAAGTACAGAGCCATTAGTTCGGAAAAAGAAATTATTCTTAAAGTTATGTGGTTGCAAGTCAGAAGGATTCGCAGTGCATTAAAGAAAAAGTTCTTCTCTCCTAATTTATGCTTATGAATTACCTGGATTTGACTCGATGACTGCGGATTGAAGGTAATCTTTAAGCACTGGTTTTTCAGGTGGCTTTACCAGTCCCGTGAAAGCAATTACGATGATGTAATGACCTTTGAACAATCAAGCATAAGGATTTGAAAATGTAGACAACAGAAGAAAAAGAAAAGTATTTATATAATTGAATAGTTACCCTTGGAATTCCCCATCACTTGTAAGAGGTTCGTTCCGTATTTGAGGATGGCAGTAACATTTGTTGGGATTTGAGGCCCTGAATCCTGGAAAAATAATTAAAGATTGACGATAAACAAATGCACATGCACATAACTAGTTCAGAGTAACAAAATCCCATTGAAAATTCAAATTGCACAAACCATTGTGATATTAACTCTCTTCTCGACCATCTTTCCATTTAACAGGAAGCTGCAATGTTCATAAGAAAGCCAGGTAAGGTTAAATTGGATCATATGTCGAGTCAGCGATGAAAAAATAGCAAATTAATTTCTCATACCTGACTTCTGGAGGGTTTATAATACAAGCAGATGTGTCTATGTTGTCTGTCTGGACAACAAATAACCGCTGAAGAACAAAAAAGAATCTGGAGTAAGTGAAATGTTACATCAACAAGACGAAACAAAGATTCAAAATGTATATAATGCAATCAATGGTTAAATTCTCATGTCCTAAGTAAAAAATATACATGCACATGACCACCTATTTACACAGATAAAGACAGAATTCAATATGGACAGATCCAGAATGATATCAATGACTAACAGACAAAGCCATACATACAATTCTTTCTAGGAGAGAATGTGGCATATTCTTTGAGATATGGAAATCATGCGCCAGCATTGTAAAACCAGCCTGCCATGTAAGGAAAGCCAAAACCACAAAGCACACAGTTAGAGGGTAACATATCAGAAGTAGATGGTTTAGGCTAGAAGACAGGCTCACCTTCCCTTCAAGCGAAACAAGAACATGCCCCAGCTTCACAAAAGGAAAGAACCTGGGATCAGAAAGAAATAAATTTCAACCAACGACTTAACTTTGTTTCCAGTGAATACCATTCTAGTCAAGAAGTTTACGGCATCGCTTAGCTAGCTTGTGATCAAATTGTATAAATACTCACTCTCCTAATAAGTTACTAAGAGTTATAATCAATATGTCAATCAACAAAGCCACATGTTATAAGGACGGTGAAAGCAAAATCAACCTCTCTATGATCTGTGATAATATACCACCAGGACTTTTAACACCAGGGCTCGTGTTTCCAGGGCTCCCAAAAGTATTCTTCATCTGAATCAGAAAGGAAAAAAACATCATTATCCTCACAATCGAAATAATCTGTTATCAGATATTAATCCAGGATTCAGAAGAAAGACAGACCTCATCAGCAAGAGCGATGAGTTCTTGACCCTCGCTTTCCGAAAACCATCCCAGTTTACAAGCATGCTGTGCCATTAACAAATGAGTCAAGTTCTAAAATTCTTGACCAAGATCATTCTAAACAACAGTCACATTCATTGTAAACTAAGGACACTGGAGAGGAGAAGCATTCTGCAGATTACTTATGCAGACTACAAAATTCCACAAAACCATTTCTCTTGTGTTACCTTAATCGAGATCATCAGCACCATAGCCGCCGTCTTGCAGTACACATCGGTTCTATGCCGGCACACCTACACCACACAACACAAGCCACACACTATCAGTATACTGAAAATGGACTCCACTAATCCAGTCAAAATCCTTTCTTCTAAGACCAGAATCAAAAAGAGAGTAACTCAAGAAGAGAAACTAGCCTGTTTGAGCAACAAGGGAAGTTCTTCAACATTCTTTGGGATTTCATTATTCGCTATAGCAAAATCAATGCCTCTGCAGCCATCATGTCAAAACCCAGACAATCACGAAACTATCAATCTATCGATTCAGAAACCCAAAAAGACTAGAAATTTTTTAAGGTACGCATGGATTTCTGTTAAGAGAAAATTACTTGGCGAGAGAGATGCAGCAGATCTGGAACTCCCTAGCATCACTCCTGGGTCCGGCATCAATGTGGTAGCGTAACCGCTGCGTCACTGACGCCAATCGGAATGAATTGACAAGTGCCGCTGCCGCCTTCTCCGGCACTCCGGTTCCAGCCGCCTTCTCCGGCACTCCAGGTCCAGCCGCCGGACGCACCGTCGTAGACATCAGAATTTTGGGTCCTTCGTTTTCGATTGATCCTTGAAAAACTTAGACTCAACAATCCAACGAGAATTCGAATTTGATTCTGGAAGACAAAGGAAAACCACGCTACTCAATCCAAAACCCTAAAAAATCTCCAACAACTCTTTTCCGTTCATGTAACGACGGGACTTTACCGTTCTTCTGGGTATAAATATTTTTATATATTAATTTGTATGCATTTGTTGCTTTTTACAGAAAATTGCCAACAATGAGAGGAATGAGAGGAAACTATCAGCTATATGCTCATTACTTAGCCGGTTTGTCTGGTTTTTGGTTTGATTTGATTTTTTTGGTTTTACGATTTATTATTTTATAATAATTTATATTATAAAAAATTATAGTATATATTTAGGTTTGGTATAGTTTGGTTTTTTTTTTAATTTTTGATTTTATAAAAATTAAAACCATATAAAAAATATATATTGGTTGGTTTCAATTTTTTAAAATTATACTAGTATAAAAAAACTTTGATGCAAGTAATAAATAAAGATAGTACATTACACTAATGAGTGAAAGAACAAAATTGTTCAAAAATAGAATATAAATCATAAGAATTAAATCTAAATCATGAATAAAACTAAGTCTATAAAAACCAAAAACTAGATAGAAAAAAAACCAGATTTTTAATATATTTTTTAGCCATTATTGTTCGTTCTTCATATTACTTATAAACTACTTATAAATTTATGGTTATTTAGTAAATTATGAAGATCATTTAGTCCAGAAAAAATTTGAATCTAAACTAAACTAAGAAAATATATTAAAAAATCAAAATTTAGTTCTAAAAAAATATTCAGTTTAACGGTTTTTAATCAAACCAAACATAAACTAAAACTTTTAAAATAATTTATAACCAAATATTTTTTTAATTTTATGTTTGGAATGGTTTAATTTTTTCTATTACGATTTTTTTTCTAGCTCTAGCTCTAGTGTTGTCCATTGGAATCATTAATGTCCCAGAATGAAAACTGTGAAGCTAAAAGAAAATGAAAGCTGTGAATAGCAATTAACTAGTAGTATCATTGAATAACAAAACATACAAAGAATAACTAATTAGATGGTTAGGCAGGAAAAATGGCTAATTTCTTTATAAATTAATAAATTTCTGACGATGACCTATAAACAAATACTAATAACTACATAAACTATTTAAAATTTTGAAAATGTTACATGAACTAAAGAAATATGGTCGATATCACCAAAATCGCATATAACGTTATTTGTAATGTTAGCGATTGCTGACTAGGACGACACATGGTGAGAAAAATGGTTGATTCTCATATAACCTTTTAAATTCCTGATGATTCATAATGATCTATAAACCAATGCTAATAAATACATGAATTATTATTTTTTTTTAAAATACTATATGAACTAAAGAATATGGTCGATTCCACCAAAATCACATACACTAAAACCTCTATAAATTAATAATATTGAGACTTCAATATTTTATTAATTTATAAAGTTATTAATTGATCGATAAATTAATATTTAATTTATAGATATATTTTTCAGTTCAAATTCTTAATGTTCAAATATTTTCAAAACTATAAAATTTATTCAAAAAATGTCATAACAATGAATTTGGAAAGCAAATCAAATAACATTTATAAACTTAAAACAATAGTATAATTATATTTAATTATATTATATTATTTATATATGTCTAAATGTAAAATTATTAATTTATGTAACTATTGGGACCATATTTTTACATAGAAATTCTAAAAAAGTATAATCTTATTATCATATGGAAAATTGTTAATTTGTATCTTGTCCAACTTGGGACCGGGAAAATTTCTTAATTTATAGTGATTAATAATTTATCGAGTATTAATTTACAGAGATTTTATTATGTAACATTAATTGAAGCGTTGGCGATTGCTAACTAAGATTATTAATTTAACGAGTATCAATTTATAAATATTCTACTGTATAACATTAATTGCAGCGACAGCAATTGCCAATTAGAAAATACTTTTTAGAATTCTTATATAAAAATATAGTCTCAATAATTAAATTAATTAATAAGTATATATAGGCATATATAAATAATGTAATTTAGTTAAATATAATTATATTATTGTTTCAAGTTTATAAATGTTATTTGATTTAACTTCCAGATTCATTGTTATAACATTTTGAATGAATTTTTACATTGTTGAATATATTTGATTTTGTCTTTTGATGAACATTAAGATTTCAAACTGAAAAATATATATATATATATATATATATAATATATCGGTAAATTAATAATTAGTAATTTTTTGATTAATTAATAAAATTTTGAAGTCTCAACATTATTAATTTATAGAAATTTTACTGTATGTGATTTTGGTGGAATCAACCATATTTTTTTAGTTTATATAGTATTTTTAAATTTTTAAATAGTTCATGTAGTTATTAGCATTGGTTATATAAATCATCATGAATTTGAAAGTTTGTTGGGGAATTGGCCATTTTTTTGACACCATGTGTCATCCTAGTCAGCAATCGCTAAGGCTACAAATAACGTTATATGCAATTTTGGTGGAATCGACCATATTTTCTTAGTTTATGTAGCATTTTTAAAATTTTAGATAGTTCACATAGTTATTAGCATTGGTTCATAGGTTATATATGAATCATCAGAAACTTGTTAGTTTATAAAGAAATGGGCAATTTTTCCTGGTTAGTCATGAAGTTTTTGAAAACAAATAGCTCACTGGTAGTGGTAGAGCGGTAGACTGTTAAATGATTAATTGTAAGGCTAATTATAATATTTAATAAAAATTATTAAAATAATCAAGTAATTATATAAAAGGGAATTAAATTTGTATGATTGGTAGAATTTAATATTGTTAAGTTTTAAACTTACATATATAGTAATAAAATATGAAAGTTTACGTTTCCAAAAAAAAGCATGCGAAAATTTGTGTTTACATGTTCAAATGTTAAATATCCTAAGATATCTCACTTCCTTACATCATTTTCTTAAGCTTAGAGGAAGAGGAGAATAGATTATTTATTGGTTTGAAGATGAGTTCAAGAATTAGAGCCTTGATATTTTTGATATTGCTTTTTTTTTTCATCCAAATTTGCTCCATTTCTGCACATCCAAATTGTTCGAAAGAATCTGAATATTGTAAACCAAACAATTAATCAGATTGATTCGGCAATTACAACTAGTCATCAACAATATTGAAGCCATGCTGCAAAGATTGGTCGATAGTGTCTTATCATCTGTTGAAGGTGAAGCTCCCAATGCAGTCTCTCTTGACAGACTTGGGAAACTGGCAAAGTTATTAAACATGAAGACAAATGTTTGGCTTTCAAGAAGTCAACAGAAGAAAGAAGAATTGACAGTTGAAATTATGGGAGCTCTAGATAGTGACAGTGATATATTCAGTCACTCTCTTTTCCTACTAATTGATAAGCTTGATCATCCCAACCTCATTGTCCGAACTTATGTCTCAAGGTTGATAAAAAGGTTATGCTACATACATGGCTAAGGAGGATTTGTGATGAAACATCCTAGAGGTGCTTGTATTCAAAACAAGTTTTTCGACAATCTATCCGCCAAGCTAACCAGCCGTCTAGGTTTGCTAAGAGAATTTTCAGAGGCTGTTTTGGGTCTTAGTATTAAACAACTTGTGGGGAAATGGTCCATGTTGTTCTCCCTAAGCTCTTGCTATATTGGAAGGAAAATGATAAAGCATAGGATACCTTGTAGAATATGGCGAAGCTATTAAATATGAAGACACTAAAGATAATAAAAAATTGTCTCCCAAAAGTTCTTGTTTTAGGCTTTAAGTCAACGGAAGAAAGTAGAATATATGCTCTCTTTTTTTAGATCAAATCTTCATCTTGACAACAAAAGTCTTTTTGCTGCTGCATTGCCTGCACTCTTCTTAGATGAGCTTGTATGCTCATGCAACTAAACGGTGTGCACTTGCATGTGTAGTGTTCTGCTCACTCATAATTATCAATTTAAACAAATGACTGAACGTCCTGGTGCTTGTTTGTTTTTCTATGATATTCTGTTTGATATCAATTTTTTGCTTATGCAGGCTGCCTGCGATATTAGAAGAGATCTCAAAAGTTTTGACAAATACAGAAGATGTTCCTGGATTTTTACAAAGCCATTTTTCTGGACTCCTTAACAGTATTAATAGAAAAATGCTTCAAGGAGACGATATTTTTCTTCAGGAACAAGCATTGCTGCGCATTGAGCTGCTCATTGGGATGATGGGCCACTATCTCAGCACACATGTGCCGAAGCTTATGGTTCTTTTTATGCATGACATTGACAAAGTTGCTCTTCAAAGCAAGGGTCTCGTGGTCTTGCGAGAGTTAACAAAAAAGATGGCTGCCGATTCACCATCTTGCATAAAGTATGTGATTTCTCAGGTTTTTGCTGCACTTGTACCCTTCTTAGAGAGAGAGAAGGAATGTCCCCGTGAAGTGGTGAAGATTCTTGAGGCACTAGTTTTGAAGAATGCAGATATACAAAAGCAGCACCTCTGCGGGATTCCTCTCATCCTCTGTTACCTAGCATACCTTCTTTAGCAAAGCTGAACTTTGCTATTGCAGAAGCACGTAGATCAAGGAGCCTGAAGGATCAGTTACGGGATATTGTAAATGGTATGAAACATGGGAACCTGGATGTCAGATACATGGTGGCATGTGAGCTAAGAACATTGCTGTATTGTAGTCATGCCGATGAACTTATGTCAGACATGGAGATCTTGAGCTCCTTGATCACATCTTTGCTACAGGGTTGTGCAGAACAATCGCAAACTACGGTGGGTCATAGGTTGGAGTTAGTCTATGCAGATTGCCTTGGAGCAATAGAAGCTATTAACCCCGCCAAATTGTTTATTTCTGTTGCATTATTTATCTTATAATTTTTTCCTAACTTTTAAAAAACTTTTTTTATATCTTTCCTTTCTTTTTTTTGGATTTTAGAAGAGGAAAAAATGGAAAACCCACAAATCACAAACATATATTAGTATAAATGGCCCCTCTAATCTCTTGTCCAAGCACTTGGTTCTCCCGAAGCGTACAAATCACAAACAATTTTTAGTATTCCTTTTGCTCTCGTTTTTTTTTTCACTCTCCCTCTCTCTCTCAAGCCCTACCTTCTTTGTCAAGGTAATTTCCTCCCACATCTTCTGGTTTGTTTTTTTTTTCTTTTTTTTTCCACTCTAGATCACG